TGATGATGATGATGATGATGATGATGATGATGATGATGATGATGATGATGATAATGATGGAGGAGATGATGATGATGATGATGATGATGATGATGTTGCTGCTGCTGCTGCTGCTACAGATACATAAAGGCTAACAAGACAACAAGGTCTTAAATGCCAGGTTAAAAAGAAACCAATGGCTGGTACTAAAAAAAGTTCTCCCACCCAGAAAACCTTTAACTGAGCTTTCCCTATTTGGCAGAGATTGAAGAGGTAATGCAGGTTAAGGGCAGTATCCTCCTTGCCCAATTTTGCATGAGAAATATTTATATAGCCTAAAGAGAATGAGTAAATTAATCTATACTTTCTGGGGGGGTTTTCTCATCTCTATTGTACCATCATTAGTTATTGTTAGTTTCATATATTTTGGGATATTTACACTATTATTATTGTAGTTGTTACTTGCATACTATCCAACATGGTGCAGACAAAAATATTATACACATTTATATCTGTGTAAAGACTTCGGCCTGTTCTTGCTGTGGAGGTGGTTTCATGTTAGTATCTGTGATGGATGGTTGACCTGATTTTCCTCCAGCTCCCTTCAAATAGCAACACTTTTGGTGTTTCATTTGTGCTGCTTGAACATCTCTGGTCTGAGGATGGAGGTTAGTCCTGACCTTGTGAGTTCTGTAAGTTTGCTCCACGCCCAAAGATCCTGGGAAGGAGGAAATCTCCAGGACTGGATTCAGTTGGAGTTGGCAATCCTATGCTGAAAGAAAGGGAAGGTGGAGATTGCACACAAATTAACTGTTCCTTTTTGTGAGGAATAATCTTAAATTTACTAGGGCTGAGCTGATTAGTGATATTGATGAGTTTTATTCATGATGGGGCATGTCAGCCAAACTTATTTACTATCTTAAAGAATCATGGCACTGCAGAGTTTAAAACAGCCTTAAATTTTTCTTTCCATAAGTTTTGTTGGAAGAAAAAGTTATCTTACCAAGTCTGTTTCTGAGCCGGGAGTAAAGACACTGATGAATTGCATGAAGTTAGGAGATTTATTCTTCACCCAAGTGCAGAAGCAATGACAGCAAGCAGTTAGGTGGGTGGCTGCACTGGACCCCCGCCATACAGCATATTATATACCTTTCGTTACATTCAGACCTACATTAAGATGTCATGACCCTCATATATGAATTGCATGAAGTTAGGAGATTTATTCTTCACCCAAGTGCAGAAGCAATGACAGCAAGCAGTTAGGTGGGTGGCTGCACTGGACCCCCGCCATACAGCATATTATATACCTTTCGTTACATTCAGACCTACATTAAGATGTCATGACCCTCATATCCAATCAAAGCCAGTTACCTTGATCCATACTCCTCCCTTTACCCAGGACCCCTTTCTCT